CGCGCCGGCGGGTTGACGCGGGCCTGTCTTCACCCGTGGGCAGGAAATAGAGGGGCTCGCGGCGAGCTCTCCTAGACCACCTGAGACCCCGGCTGGAGTACCCCGGTCTCGTGCCTCATACTCGGAGCAGGGAAGGTTGTCGCAAGATAGACCCAGGAGCTAAGTAAGAAACTGAGGCAACGTGAGTCCCGTTCCCAGGGGCGCTTCTTCACCCCTGAAATGAACGACCTACAGGCCTTATGCTGCCTGCGGGGAGGGGGTAGACAGGACCGAGTCCCTCCTTCTTCTTGATCCCAACTGAATCTTCAGTACCTCCCACCCCTGCCGTGAAAGGCTCAGGCTCGCTTTTATCCTTTAATTCCCGGGACTAGATCTTGTTCGCTGTGAATTTAATTTAACCGCTCCCCCCTCACCACCACCCCCCGCCATTCAGTCCAAAGGCACCTCTGCGCCCTCTGGCGGCTGCAGCTCCCTTGCAGAAGGGCACGCACCTGTTCTTGTTCTCGGTCCCACAGCAAAAAAAAAAAAAAAAAAAAAGATGTTTCAAAGATCCGGGCACAGCTCAACCACGAGCAAAAGGTCACCGAGGGCAGAAAGCACAACAACGAATTCCTGGCGCTGCCCGCACTGAGGTCAGAGTTGTCAGGGAAGAAAAGCAGCCAGGCCTGCTGGATACCATTTACTCCACACAACTTTGCTGTTTTAACACTGTCCTGTGCCCACACTGCACACGGTCTTTTTCTGCACTGTGCCCCCACAAACCCTCTCGTCTTCTTCTTCTTAGTGTGACTTGCCTGGCTCTTCTTCAAATACCTGCCACGCAGTGACTTTGAGAGATGTCTATGCAAACACTGCATAGGTTTGCTCATGCAGACCCTGGAATCTAAAGCTTGACAGCTCGGTGGTGGCAAAGGCAATAGGAAAAGATAACTGCCAGTCTCACACCCTTATCCAGGGAGCTACAAACTTGGAGTTGTCAAGAAGACTGTGTGGAGGGGCCGGGAGCTGTTGTTTTGGTTTCCCTATTCTACCACACTCAAATTTTTCTTGGTTTTGGTCTACACTGCAAACCACCTCTTGTAAACACCCCTCCTTTGTTTCCAGACCACAATTAAGTCACCCCAAATAAGTAACTCCTTCCAAGAAAGGCAGTACAAAATATTTTGGTTCTAACCTAGGAATACCAAAGCATCTAACCACACACACTGTGCCACCTAGGGTATAGCCTCAACATTCATTCCCTGTAGCTAATGTTTCCTTCAAAATTCAGATCCCAACTACTTGCCACATGGGAAGTAAAGCTGCAATCAAGTATTTGTAGGCAGTGAATGTCTCCATGTGGTGCACAGGCACAGTTTCTTCAGCACTCCTTTACTCCAAATAATTTCCCTGTTTCCTATTTCAACCACTGCTTTCCTCTGACCCTAAGGCACTCAAATAGAAGTTAGCAGAGCAGCTCCATTACTTTCTGGAAGTTTTTGCCAAGTTGCATTTTAGGGTGGACACTGCTCTCCACCCTGGTGTAAAATGAGAATGTTGGCACACGTGTGAGACCTGGGAACCACTTACATAAACACATGCAAGAGCTAAGTTCATAGTTCCATATGCTAGAGACTCGCAGGTCATTCGTGTTTCTTCCAATCACACCTCATCTTAGTTCTCCAAAGTATTTCCTAATACTGATTCTTATATTTAAATATAGTGTCTCCATCCCCTTCGGATCAGTTACAGTTTTCAATATGGTCTAAAATAGTCCATTTATTGTTTTTAGCAATGCTTATAGTTACCTGACGGCCTGCTACCTTCTTCTCTAGATTATTCTAGCCAAAGAGACTGAATGGTAAGTATCAGCGAGCTACTTTCTTGGCAAGCCTCCATTTCTCGATGCTCAGCTTTATTTTCTTGTTCCCCATCCCATTCCACCCCACCCATTCCAAGTCATCCGGTGAAAACACATTGGATCTGGTCTTTGGTATCTTCTCCATGTTTCTCATAGTAGTCTAGCAATGCCCTTCTTAGTAACATTAGGTAGGTCCACAACATCCTCAAGAAATGTGTCCCAAATGTTCTGCAACTAGGAGCAATGGGAAGTGAGATGCAGAAAAAAATGAGTGAAGCATAAAGTTAGTTTTGAGACTGGTAAGTGGCAACATTTTTGGATGCCATGTAGTATTCTTGGTAATAATGCTTTTTCCTAAAGTACTTAGCACTGACTATTATGAGACTATTGCTACAAGATGGTCAATGGCACCTCAGCCTTTAGGACCAAAATTCCAAGTTCCAAAGAAGAGCAAACTCGAGAATTTTCTAAGGCCTCTGCCTATAGCCTGTGCCCAGGAGAACAGGTGCTGCACTCAGACATTCTTGGGATATTTATACTCTCCTTGAGCTAGCACCCATTTTTAGCAGCTCACATTAGAAAATGGCCAACTCCACAAACTAACACTCAAATAACAAACAAAAGCCACCACACTGATTATAAGCTCACCAGCCATTAGAAAAATAAATAAGCATCAATCAACCAATACATATCAGAATGAGAAAAATAATTTGAGACTATTTAGTTTGCAGGAAAAGAACATTTTTGTAAAGATACAACTTTATTGCCTATAGAAAAACAGACAGAATGATAGCTCTTACTGATTGGTAGTCCATTTAAAGTAGAGCACCTGAAAGATGCGGGAAAATCATTAAAGATAAATAACCAATCTTAAGCAGGGCGTGGTGACTCATGCCTATAATCCTATTACTTTGGGAGACCAAGGAGGGAGCAATGCTTGAGCCCAGAAGTTCCAGACCGCCTCCTCCTTGTGCCCCAGGCAACATATTGAGACCTGTAGTTCCAGCTACTCAGAAGGGTGAGGCAGAAGGACTGCTTGAGCCCAGGAGGCTGAGGCTGTGGTGAGCCATGATTGTGCCACTGCACTCCAGCCTGTGCAACAGAGTGAGACCCTGACCAAAAAAAGAGGAAAGGTAAATAACAAATCTAAGTTCCTGTCATGAGACCAAAATAATCCTTGACTTGACCTTACCCTATTAGTAAGCTATGCTTAGCCAAGAATAACAACCTCTAAGTAGAGTGGTGTCTGACCCACTAGAAATCTCTGAAAAATCTAAACATGATAGTTACCTTCCTAATGGACCAATACCTTCCAATTTCCTCTTTTATAGATCTTTTTTAAAAGTATCATTTTGGATGTTTCTTTTGGATTCTAATTTTTCTTTTGTAGAAACAGCAAAATGACATCAAGTTTTCACTTGTACTCCTTGAGAGAGTTTCTCCTGTATACTGAGTATAAAAGATGAGGAATAAGTCTAAGAATTATCACTGTCATTTTTAAGAAAGAAAAACAAAATGACATGTTCAATGACCTTTGGTACTCAGACAAGAAATAATGACACTGATCAACGGGGTATAGAGTGAAAGGAAGTGAAGACATATTGCTCTGTTCATTCTCAGCAGTAAAGTCAGAGCACAGTCCCCACTGCTTGTGAGGCCACACTCTGCTACAAAAAGCTCAACTAGTACTCCAGAGGCCAGGAATTACTTTAATTTTTTTTATAAAAAGTTTAAACGGCAACACAACCGTAAAGTTGGTACATCACAGAAACAAAGGTCTTTGCAGGCAACACTGATTGGAAATAGCAAAACACTTGGTTGGTGAAAAAAAATGAAACTCTAAATTATATACAATAATAGCTAAGGGTGATATTGAAAAACAGTCTTATTTATTTACTGTGACTCAAGATTTAACTTGCCATTATCTATTGCTTATTTATTTAGAGTTGTAAATATTACTTATATAGAGACATAGAGATGTGTAAAAATGAAACATTGTGAAAAAAATACAATTTTTCAATTTCATATGAAACTCAAAGTATAAGTCTTGTCCAATATGGAATGTACCTACATTTGTTTATATTAGGGCTCTAAAATCCATTTAAAAATTGTTTCTTGTTTTTAAAAAAGAAGTAGCTGACCCACCATGCAGGTTCATTATATATTTTGCTCACTCAAAATGAGCACTTCCAGGTGAGGTCTGTTTTTTCTGCCCCAAGTCTACTATGATTCCTTAGAAGTTGTACTGGCCCTAGTGTGGAGAGTTTCCATGAAGAGTCCGATGGTAGCATCTGAATGAGGGACATCTGGGTAATGGGAAGTGAGTAGAGAAGAGGGAAGAGCCCAAATCCTTATGAAGGATGACATTCAGTTGTTAAATTTCAAGGGGTATCCAATGGCTTTTTCCAGGCACTCAACTAAAGAGCCAGCGGAAAGAAAATCCCTCTCTACTTCTACAAATTTGATATAGATGGATTTGGGGGAAACTCCAGGATCCACAATACAGTTCTGAGACAAAAACCCATTAATACCAACCCAATCTTTGCTGAAGGTTTTGGTATTTGCTTGGAAATGTAAAAATAAGCATTGCTGCAGAGTCCTAACCTCAGCAATCCCGAGGTAGCAATAGATAATTCGGGTGGGTTCTATTTCCACCTGTAATGAGGCTTGTGCTGAAAGGGTTTCCAGGTCAACCCGGCCCTCTTTCCCTGGTTCCAGGGACCGTAGCTCTGTGTGGGGTGAGAGGGGCCTCTCGATACATTCTTCATAGCCAATGGCATAAAGGCCTGGGCTTTTAGGAATGCCTCCGGGCAATAAATATTGAACAACGTTCCCACCAGTTGGTTTGGAGTGGGCGATGGGTATCCAGTCAATTTCCATGTGCAGCTCCAAGCACCTAGCTTCACTAATAGTGATCTCCAAAAATTTGTAGTAAACATTCTTCCAGTTCATTTTCTGCACTCGGGTCATAATGATCCGTCCCTCAGGCTTCTCAGAGTTGAAGTACTCCCGAAGTCGCTTGCCAAGGGGCACCTGGGAGCTGATCTCGGCATAATGGTAACGGATATCCTCTTTCCAACGGGTGTTATAACCAATCCCAAAAATGGCCAGTTTATTAGAAAGATGGAGCCTTGAAAAGTCTGTCCAGCTCTGAAACAGTTCCCATTTCAACTGTACTGATTCCAAAATCTGTACAATATTCTGCATGATGTCTCTTTTCCTAGAAAGAAAAATAAAAGTCAATTCCCCATACCTAGAAAAGCACTGTCAGATAGAACTTTCTGTGATGATGGGAATGTTCTACATCTATGCTGTCCAATATGGTAGCCACTAGAACTTAAAATGTGGCTAATATGAATGAGGTATTACATTTTAAAATTATATTTCATTTAAAATTACATTAAGTAGCCACGTGTCATATTACACAGTGCAGATCTAGATAATCATAATATTAAAACGTGAGAAATACCCAGAGGAAGTAACTAGGAATTAATGATAAATGGCGTTCTATTACTTCTGTAGCCTCACTATATCAAATTTAATCAATATTAGTACTCAAGACTCTAGGATTTCAGAAATCCAAGGATCATGACTTTTTAGAATGGCTATTATAATGCCTATGATGGTCTTTAGACCTAACAAACTACCAAAAGAAGATGAAGAATTCACTAGTCACAAAAGCATTCAGTGCCACTTAAAATAATTAACAGCTTAATTTCTAATTTGGAAATTTGGAAAGTTCAATAATTTTGCCCATATATGTATGCTTTAGGTAAGCATACAACTGATTATGACTAATGACACAAAAACAAAACGTTATTTTCTATTTGTCTGAAATTCACTACTATGCCAAATTTAAAAGAACTGTCAAGTTAGCATTTTTATATTTGTCTGAAATTCACTACTACTCCAAATTTAAAAGAACTCTGAAGTTAGCATGGATTTAAGATGTGATCATTCAAATGGAAAAGGTTCACATTAGTCTTAGGTTTTAAGAGAGAAAGATTTAAGATAATTGAGACTGTTATAGAAAGTCCTTTATAAGAGGAAGCAAAAGTACAGAAATTATTTCAATTTTGACTTATATAGTTAATAGAAACAGAAAATGCTGAAAAATTCTTGTTTCACAAGTTGCTTAATTCATATAATTTATATATATGAGGCTATTAATTATAAGTTTGTTTCTTATGTATGGCAAAACTTTGATACTGGAAGATAAGTTTAAATATTAACTTAGTAACAAATCATTAGACTGTACATCAAGTACAGGTTTAGCCTACAAAGATACTCAACTACCACACTCACAATCAAACATAGGAAAGCAAAGAGGGTGTACATGTTGATTTGCTAACAGTTTTTTGAAAGGAGACCTTGGAAGGAGCCAGATCCTTGAGACTTTTCTACTACATTCTCATACCTTCCAGGGAAAGAGCTTTTGGAACATTGTGGGGAATCTTCACATAACCATTCTCTGTCTGTCCTCTTACTCTCCTTGACTTTCTTTGCAAGACAGCAACAAGCTAATATTTTGTTATTAGCTTCTTCTTGGAGCCTAAGACTGCTCTGAACTTACCCTCTACCCTTTAGTTTGTCTTGAAAGCTTCTCAAGAATCAGAGTGGCCATCTAGATGACATCACTACATTCCTGGGGAATTATTCCTCCTCTGAGAGGACACAAAGACACTTGATCACTTTCATAATATTTGTGATCCTTGTGAGGATAAGAGATAGGACTGTGCTTCTGCATGGGTCATGCTTTAAAGGAAAACGACCTTTCATAGCTATTATCCTTCCTTGTCCTCTTTTGAAATGTTTTATTGATCTCAGGGAGGACTACACTTAGAAGCTGGGATGGAGGGCAGAGATTTTTGTCTGTTATTCTCATTGATGTATCCCTATGCCTGTCATACAGTAGGCCCTTGATATATATGTGTTGAATTACATGAGCAGGTTAGGTGACTCTTCTTCATGAAGGATGGTGTATTTCACTATAGGTTATATTGGCTAGTTCAGCTAATCCCACTAGTAGCTACAGAGGAAAAAAAATCCCATGCCCAAATTAAGTTATTTTATTCGGTAATGTGATTTAACACTCAATCATTAATGCTAGAGTCAGACACTACAAAGAACAATTCCAAGAAACGGTAGCACTGGAAAAAAATCAATGGTCTACCCAGAACCTCTTCAGAATCTCTCACTCTGAGAGCTGAAATCTGGAGATTTCAGCAGCAGAGGCTTGAGAGATTACTGCAGAGCCTGTCAGTTTTCTGCCCTGATGACTGGAGCCTGAAACTGATTTGGGTTCAAGACTCATATTCTCAAAGCTATGGAGTGCAGTGAAAACTAGACCCAGTTATTTAAACAGTTCCTGAGAACTGTTATACTTCCTAGTTTCTGAAGTTCCAACCACCAGAAAAGGAATTTGAGGTTGGTGATCTCAATTCTGTGAAGTTTGAGTTCATCCCCAGTTACATCAACTGGACCTCCTCTGCAAGGTCCTGAGTGGCTGTAAGGGAGAGAGATAGGGCATTTTAACAAAAGAGCCAGAGGTTTGGGGGGAGAGTAAGGGTTTGAAGGTATGGACTTGTAAATAACTCGTTTTTAAAAACAATAATTAGTTTCCCTTCCTTTGGTACAATTTGGTGTTACAATCTTAAAAGTTAGCTACTTCCCAACAAAAGATGGCCTTAAACTTACCGATCTGGATCACTGGTTTCTTTTTTGAGTAGTGGGATAATGGCTGCAATTTTGGAGAACAACTTCTGATCCCTGAACTTTCACCCTCTCCCCAGGCAAGGATCAGATGACACTGGGAATTCTTTTTTTTTTTTTTGGAGTCTTACTCTGTCGCCCAGACTGGAGTGCAGTGGCAGTCTCCCGGCCACCGCAGCCTTGACCTGCTGGGCTCCAGCGATCCTTCCACCTCAGCCTTCCAAGTAACTGGAACTACAGGCGCGCTACCACGCCCGGCTAATTTTTTGATTTATTGTAGAGATGAGGTCTCACCAAGCTGCCCAGGCAGGTCTCGAATCCTCGGGCTCAGGCAACACACTCACCTCAGCCTCCCAAAGGCGCGGAATTACAGGCTGAGCCACCGAGCCTGGCTACACTGGGAATTCTTTCATTCCAAAGAGATACTATGAAAATTAAATGAGGACTTGCAAAGCAGAGGTGGTAGTGGTGACTTGCTGAATGAAAACAACAAATATTTCCTTGTTGTGCTGCCTGTTCTATCACAATCCTTTTCACTTCACCTCTTCTTGTTCTCCATTATCTCTCAGACATCAATATCGCATTTGTGGAATGAAGCACACAAAAACAAGTGAGTGCTATGACTGCTCCAAGGTTATGAAAAAAAGATGGTCTTCCTCACTTCCCCCAAATTTATCTTTTAATATATTATCTTTAATAATTAGACTTAATCAGGTACTTACTTAAAACTAGTAAAAAGAACTCCAAGAACTTTGATGTTCTCACAGGAAAGATAATGCTAAATTCTTAGGAAGAAGATCATGCAGTGTAGTCCAGTGCAAGGACCCTGTCCCTGAACTTTCTTAATCTTTCCTTCAGCAAATGCTTTCTTTCCCAAATATATAAACAGGTCATCTAAGAGCTTGCTTTTTGGTTCCCAAAATATAATAGGATAAGAAATTCAAGGGTACCTCTGGCCTGCCTATCATTTCACCAGATAAATTGAGGTCCCAGTGACTCATCTTTGTACCTTATTTATTTATTTATTTTATTATTCTATTTTTTTTGAGTTGGAGTCTCACTCTGTCACCCAGGCTGGAGTGCAGTGGCTGCT